ATCTATCTATCTATCTATCTATCTATCTATCTATCTATCTATCCATCCTTCCATCCATCCATCCATCATTACATCTATCCATGAAGGGGCTTTCAAAAAGTCTTTGCCCTTTCTTTTAAAGAACTGTTGAAAAAAAATGAACTTAAATAATGTGATTTCCATTTTTTCTTGAAGGCTGCATAATGTGTAAAGCTTCTGGGAAATCCGATGAGAGGCGTAAGCATGAGAGAACTTTTAGTGTAAGTTGTTCTTGAATAGCAAAAGACTGTGGAGACAATGCCAACAGTGAAAGCTTTTGAATATTGCTGGCAGATCAAACGCCTTTATTTGCAAGGTAAATCAGGAGGGACACTTTATTAGATAGATATCCAGTGCTTACACACACACACACACACACACACACACACACACACACACACACACACACACACACACACACACACACACACACACACACCTATGACTCCACGCGAAACGCTTGTGAATAGCTCGATTTGTTATGTTTTGTTTTGTTCATTTTACTTTTGTCTTATTCATTTATTCACGTATTTATGTATTTATTTGTTTATTTATTCATTTATTTATGTATGTATTTTCTTATTTATGTATGTATCTATTTATTTATTTATTTATTCTTTAACTATTTAATGGGGAGGGTGGGGGGTCCAGTTGGCCTGAAAGTATTCTTCTATTTCAATTTCTCAGCCTACAGGCGAGTTTTTTTATCACCAAAATCTGTAAAATGACCAAACACACGCGTATATGGGTGTATGTATGTCTATTTGTCTGTCTATTTGTCTGGCTACTTGTCTGTTGATCTGTCAGCTTATTTGTATGTTTGTTTTTCTGTTTGTCTGTTTATTCGTTTGTCTTATATTTGTCTGTTTATTATTAAATGTCTGTCTATGTGTCTGTCTGTCTATTTGGCTGTATATATGCCTGTGTCTATGTCTGTCTCTCTATATAAAATATGACGGTTTATTAGTCTGTCTATCAATTTGTCTGTCAATATGTCTTCCTGTCTTTCTATTTGTACATGTTTGTCTATATGTCTGTCTATCTGACTGTCTATTTGTATATCTGTCAGACTGTCTATTTGTATATTGTCTATTTGTTTATCTGTCTGTTTGTAGGACAATCGCGTCGGTGGCCTAGTGGTTAGGCTACCGGACTTGTAATCGTGAGGTTGCGGGATCGGGGGTTCGAGCCGTGAGCCCGACATTGTGTCCTTGGGAAAGGCAATTTACACGAATTTTCCTCACTCCACCCCGGGTGGGATTGGGTACCCGGCTATAGACAGCGAAAGATCTTGTCAGTATGTTAGTGTTTTAGCGCCCATAAATTGGTGCTTGCACTGTATGCTTCCCAGGAATCTGAGGTTGTTTCCAAATGCTCTCAGCTCTGCTGGGGTAATAGTACAGATTGTGAAGCGCATAGAGCTTGCTGTTGAGCGAGGATTTGCGCTATACAAATGCTATCCTTATATGTATTATTATTATTATTATTATTATTATTATTATTATTATTATTATTATTATTATTATTTTATTTTTATAATTGTTATTATTATTGATATTATTATTATTGCTATTGTTGTTATTATTATTACTTACGGAGCGGGGTGTTCCAGCACGTGAGACATATGTACTTAGTAATGTCCTGTCTTTTTGTGCGTATGCGTGAGTGCACCTAACCTTTGTAGCGTCTACTGCCATTGTTCACGACCAAGATAAATTTCTCCCTGCGAGACGAATAAAGACTGTCATTGTCATTGTCATTGTCACATTGTCACTATCACATTTTCATTGTCATTGTCATTGTCATTGTCATTGTCATTGTCTTTGTCATTGTCATTGTCATTGTCATTGTCACATTGTCATTGTCTTTGCCTCATTGTCATTGTCTCATTGTCATTGTCATTGTCACATTGTCATGTCATTGTCATTGTCATTGTCATTGTCACATTGTCATTATCATTGTCATTGTCATTGTAGGACGGCCTGACCCGCAGCTACAGCATGTCGGCGGCCTACATCAAGTCCATGTCACTGGACCGCGGGAGGGGCGTGGCCTACAGCACAGCCGGCACCACAAGGCCTGCTGCCATGTCACAGCAGCAGCAGCAGCAGCAACAGCAACAGCACTACAACGGGCTCAGCAACAACCACAACAACAGCAGCAGCAGCAGCAACGTGCCGTTTTTCCACGCCGGCGACTTTGGGACAGGTAAAGACGACGGGCTTTTAATTTAGTTGTAGTCGTAGTTTTAGTTGTAGGTTTAGTCGTACTTTTAGTTTTAGTTAGAGTTAGTTGAGTTGCTGGACGGTATTTGCAACACAAACAGGTCCAGACAAAACATATGACCTTATGCAGTTGCACGCGCCGTAAAACTCCCCCTAAAACTTACAAAAAAACAAAAAAACAAGCAGGTCATATAAGTGATTGGTACAGTGTGCATGCTGCAAGTATGGCCCCGGATTTACACAAAGGATACATTTTTTTTAAATCGGGGATGAACAAACAAACTTTGGAGTTACCAACATTTTGAAATGACTTCTATAATATTGCTCGGGAGTGATCTTTCTTTCAACACTCTTGTGATATTTGATTGGCTGGACTCACGTTTCGCTTTCTTCTCTGATCCTTTTAAGCATTATTTTGTTTAAAATGAAAGGGGGGGGGGGATGGTGTTGCAATGACTGAATAAGCCCCCTCTGTACATTTTCATTTCGATGTCTTCACAATTATTTTCTCTGTTAAAATAATTCATACGACTTGTGAAAAGTACCGTAAAAAGTTCTGTATAATTCTGTAGCGGCATCTGTTGTAGAATGGTTTGACTAATTGCCTTTAGGGCAACAGACTATGACTCGTACTTTAACTTTAACACAGTATTCTTCGTTACACTCGCTGTATTGACTTTCAGGGCTGCGTAACGAAATATTGACTTAACCGAGTAATGATATACTGTAATAACAATGTAATTGGACACTGGAATATTATATTGATAACCGAATGCTGATGTGAAGTGACTGAGCGATGGTGTAGGTGAGTCAGTTTGTGTCTGCGTGATATGATGACTGCTTGATGACGTGGCTAAAGGATGACGTATTAGAGTAATGACGTCTCTGAACAATGGCTGGACGGAATAGTGACTGATCAAAATATAGACGTATCAAAATAATGACATATCAAAATAATGACGAATCAATATGATGACATACCAAAATAATGACGCATCAATATGATGACATATCAAAATAATGACATATCAAAATAATGACATATCAATATGATGACATATCAAAATAATGACGTATCAAAATAATGTGTCGTGGAGCAATGTCGTGACAATAATGACATACATGTATCAGAATACTGACGTCAATGAACTATGGTGTTTAAAAATAATGACGTCAATGAACAATGATGTTTCAAAATACTGACGCCAATGAACCATGATGTCTCAAAATAATGACGTCGGGTAACACGGACGTGGCAGAACTATTACGTATCAGAGTAAGACATCAGGGGAAGAATGACGTGCCTGAACAGTGACATCTCCAAATAATGACCTCGGGGAGCAATGACGTAAGGGAACAATGACGTCTCTGAACAGTGATGTCCCTAAACAATGACGTTGTGACTGGACGATGACGCATCTAAACAATAATGACCCCGGGGAGCAATGACGCGACCAAATGATGATCCGACATTCAGAATAATGACTTATTCTTTGTTTCTCTGTGGGGGG